TTAAGCAAATGCCACAGTTATTAAGCAAGTTCATTTTCCTGAGTGGCAGTTTTTGCTGGAAAATAAATGCCTGCAAACTGGCAAAAAACACTGAAATTCTTTCTAAACTGAAAATTGTTGTCATGCGACTGATGATGCAAACAGCTGCAAATGCAAGCTGGTTGCCAAGAGGTCAAACTGCAATCACATGCCCACAGGTGTGGGTAGGTGGGTGGGTTGTGGCCATTGGAACTTCAAAAACTAGTTGTGAGTAGCTTTGGGGAGGTCCATTGTGACCTTGATTGATCATTAAGTGAGGACTACCTTCAATTTACATTATTTATATACTGTTCTGCCCCAGCTCCCCAAACACGACAAACCCTCTGAAGTTAACTGAAAGATTCCTTTATTAGGAGTGCCAGGAGCCCCGGCAGCTGTGGTTGCGCGACAGCTCCCCCAGTACCTGGATGAAATGACGTATCTGGATCCGTTCCAGTTGGGCTTCAGGCCTGGGTACAGCACGGAAACGGCATTGGTCGCGTTGGTTGATTATCTCTGGAGGGCTCGGGACAGGGGTTGCTCCTCTGTCCTGGTCCTATTAGATCTCTCAGCGGTTTTTGATACCATCGACCATGGTATTATGCTGCACCGGTTGGAAGAGTTAGGGGTGGGGGGCACTGTACTACAGTGGTTCTCCTCCTTTCTCTCTGACCGGTTGCAATCTGTGTTGTCAGCGGGGCAGAGGTCGACCCCGAGGCCCCTCATATGTGGGGTGCCACAAGGGTCGGTCCTCTCGCCCCTTTTGTTCAACATTTATGTAACGCCGCTGGGCGAGATCATCCATGGTTTCGGGGTGAAGTACCACCAGTACGCTGATGATACCCAGCTGTACATCTCCACCCCGGACCACCCCAACGATGCATTGAAGTGATGTCCCAGTGTCTGGAGGCCGTGCGGATCTGGATGGGGAGGAACAGGCTCAGGCTCAACCCATCCAAGACTGAGTGGCTGTGGTTTCTGACGTCTCGATATAGTCAGTTGACGCCATAACTATTGGGGGCGAATCACTGGCCCCCACGGAGAGGGCTCGCAACTTGGGTGTCCTCCTGGATTCACGGTTGTCTTCAGAAGAGCATTTGACGGCTGTGACCGGGAGGATTTTTCATCAGGTTTGCTTGATTCGCCAGTTGCATCCCTTTCTGGATCGGGACTCCCTACACACAGTCACTCATGCCCTTGTCACCTCCCGCCTGGACTATTGTAATACTCTCTACATGTGGCTCCCCTTGAGGAGTACCCGGAGGTTCCAACTGGCGCAGAGTGCAGCTGCGCGGGTGGTTATGGGAGCAACATGGCTCCTGTGTGACACCATTCCTGCGCGAGCTGCATTGGCTCCCGGTGGTCTTCCAGGTGCACTTCAAAGTTTTGGTTACCACCTTTAGAGCACTCCATGGCTTAGGACCTGGTTATTTACGGGACCGCCTACTACCACAAAGAGCCTCCCACCGGCCGGTATGCTCTCATAGAGAGAGGCTCCTCCGGGTGCCGTCAGCCAAGCAGTGTCGACTGGCGGCCCCCAGGGGGAGGGCCTTCTCTGTGGGGGCCACCCACTATCTGGAACAAGCTCCCCCTGGAGATATGGAGGATCCCGGATCTGCGCACTTTCCGCCATGCTCTAAAGACCCTCCTATTCCAGCAAGCCGGCCTGGCCTAATTTTCTCCCCTTTCTTTTAAATTTTTAAATTGGAATTTTAATTTGTTTTAAATTATTGGGATTTTTTAATTGTCTTGGGCTAAATTATTTAATTTGGTTTTAATTATGTTTCTAACTTTTGTATTTATGTATTTTATTTTGTGCCTGTTCACCGCCCTGAGTCCTTTGGGAGTAGGGCGGTATATAAATTTAATAAAACATAAACATAAACTGCAGGTTAACAAGTCTGTCTGGCTGGGAAGTGAATAGTTGTCTGCCACATCTATTCATTGCCACCCCCTGCCTTTCATCCCCAGAGCTAGGGTGGGGCTCTGCTAGCAGAGGTAGCTCTTTCTTCCCATGTACCAGGCCACGGATTTCCACTGCTCTCCTCTCCTCTGCCTTCTGTGCATCCACACATCAGACACTAGATCCAGCTGTTCCTCCTCTTCCTCATCAGCCACCTCCAGACCTGGGAGCTGTTGACTCTCCATCTGAGAGCTGATGGATGGCTGAGGCTCTGCCTCTGTCTCTCTCTCTCTGCCAGCTCCTTTCCCTCTTTCCCCTCCGAGCTCTCAGTTTGCTCTTCTACACCTCCTTCTCCTCTGATTCGGCTGCTGGAGGGGCCGGCGGCCGACAGGCCACAACATGCAAGAGCCTTGGTAGTACAGGGGTTTAAGGCACCCTGTTATTAAGCTGGTTATTAAGACCAGCTGCCTGCAATTACTGCAGGGTTCGAATCTCGCCAAGGCTCAAGGTTGACTCAGCCTTCCATCCTTTCTAAGGTAGGTGAAATGAGGACCCAGTTTGTGGGGGCAATAAGCTGACTTTGTATAAATATACAAAAGGATGAAGGCTATTGCTGAGCACATTGTAAGCCGCCCTGAGTCTTCGGAGAAGGGCAGCATATAAATCAAATTAAAAAAAAAAACATATACATTTTCCATATTTGTTGCAATTATGTTGTTACTGAAGGAAAATCCAGCCTTCCAATATTTAATAAGCCCCGAGGATTTGGTTTTGCCAGCTGGCCTGGATAACCCAGTGTGGGATAGAGCCTATCAAATGGCTGATTTAATCGTGTGTTGTTGCCAGGGGGTGGGGGTTGTTTTTTATTTTTAAAAATTCTATACTGTGTTTTTATTGTTTGTAAGTGGCCTAGAGTCAGTGTAAAAACATTGTTATTTGAGCAGTTCTTCTACATGAATAACCTATCTTTGCTCTTCCCACAGACTCTAGAAAATATCCCAGTTCTATAGGCATTGGGCATAGGAGCTGATGGGTACAAGAACTGCAAGAGTCATAGAATCCATTCAAATGAAGCTCTTCTTGCAGCCAGAGCTTCTGGATCAGCAGTTGTGGGTATAACTCACTCTTTTCTCATTTAAACCCGGGGTGAATCATCTTTAATACTGATAAGAGAATCCTGACTAATATTACCACATTGCACAAAGGGGCAAGAAGGGTCAGAGTGATGCATAGATTGCAGCATTATGATCCAAAACCAATCCCTTTTCTATATGGTTGTGATATCATGCAATAGCACTTAGACTTATATACCACTTCACAGTGCTTTACAGCCCTCTGTAAGTGCTTTACAGAGTCAACATATTTCCCCCAACAATGTGGGTCTTCATTTTACTGACCTCAGAAGGATGGATGGTTGAATCAACCTTGAGATGGTGAGATTCGAACTGCTGAACTGCTGGCAGCTGGCAGTCAACAGAAATAGCCTGCAGTCCTGCATTCTAACCACTGTGCCACCATGGATCCACTCCAGAAGGATGGAGCTTATAAGCACAAGTGCAATAATCATTAACAGTCCACCGGCCCCAATCTATTTGTCATTAAGGTCTGTAGGCTAATTTAGGAGTTATAGTTATGCTCTGTATAAAAAAATATATATTCCAGTCATCCAAGGCATCTAAAGTTGATGGTTCTCAAGAAGCAAAGCTGGGAAATACCTCAGTAGATAAATCTAGATAGTAGTTTTCAACCGATATAGAGATAGAGCAATCTTTCAGCTGGCATAGGAAGATTTATATGAGGCAAGTATTGGTACCATCAGCTAATCTGGACCATGTATCCCATCCCCCACTTTAGATAGTAATATCATCTAAATGCATTTGATTTAGAAAAATAGGTTGATTCCTGATGGTGGCTCATGGTGAAGAGGATGCAAATAGGATTAAGTTAATGAATCAACTATCTTGGTGCTGTGTGCTACTATCTATCAATGCAGAGACTAGACTATTCCCTGGAGGAAATCACCAATTTCTGCTGTATGAAGAGAAAGGTCAGGCTAAGCAATTTGCGAACTCTACCTAATGAACAGGTCAATTTATATAGCAATGATGAATATATTGCAAATGAGTTCAGAAAAAACATAGACAATACAGCTGCCTTTTTCAAATGGTATCTTTTGGTGCCAAAGAAGTCCTTCCAATGAGGAATGGATGGAATCCATCTGTGATTATTCAAGGGCAAATCCATCATTACATCAGACATTTAATGTCAGACCCCAATCAGCAAGCCAAATTTATTTAAATTTACTTCATGGAAAGACAAGACAGGGTAGAATTGAGAAAGGAACACTCCACAATGATGTAATTCAATGTGAGATTTTTGAATTATGGGAGAAACTACCATGACAACGAAACCTAACATTGTGTCATTCAAGATTGAAGATACTTCTCAAAGTGAATTAAAATGTTCATTGTAACAGCAGAAAAAAATCTCCAGTACTTCAAATTTGCCTTTGTAAAGTTTCAATTGAAGAAAAACATGCAGCTAGGGAGGGGGAGAAGGAAGATAGAATTTCTTATTGGGTGAGAAAAACAAAATTCAGAAACATCAAATGATGAAATAGAATTATCTTCAGGCTTTCAGAATTACCAGCACAATTTATGGAATAAGGTATAGATTTTATCTACCCAACATTTGACAATCCTGCAGAACTGTTCTCAGAGAACTCTATCTTGGTTTCCCTCAATGAAATAATGAGGAAAAATCAATTCCATATGCATTAGATGCTTCTCTGGAATGATGAAAGAATATTGTTAATGCAATGCTGTCAGTGAAGGAGCTAATGCTACTCATTTTCCAGCATAATTTTTTGATGCAATTTAACTGTCTGGATTTCCAGCAAATACACTGGAATTGAAGATGGGATTCCCATCATTTTAATTAGGAATTTGGCTCTTCGAAGGCTTTGCAAATGGAACATGGATGATTGTGAAAGAATTTTACAAGAATCACATTGTAGCAAATATAAACATTGGTGCATTCAGAAATGATGTTGTCATAATTCCAAAACTTATGTTAATCTATCAGTCAGAAGGTGAAGATATTCAGCTTCAGTGGACACAGTTCCCAAAACAATGATGCTTTGCGTTCACTATGCATAAACTGCAAGAAAAAAACCATGAAGAGCTGCTCCGGGTCATTTTATTTCTTTGTTCAGGTAAGGAAATCTCTCTGAAAGGATGATCCAGTGGGTTACCCAAGAGAAACCACTTTAAACCACTCTGTGTGATGGCTGTCACCACATGAGGAGTGTTGATTTGGATGTAGTGGTTGACTATGCGGGTGGAGTTTTAGAAAAAAAGTCTTGAGAAAGAGTTGTTCCTTATCCTCCTTTTTTCTTTTTCCCTGAGGAAAGGCATTTGTGGTAGCATACAGAAAAATTCCAAATGCTTGTGGTGAACTGTAGAATACAAACAGCAAACCATGTTTTGACAGCTGCAACATGGAATAATTATAAGTGGCCTCTGTTGGGTGGCCACAACAGAAGCCCTTGCCTTCACTAAGTATGCGATAGCAAATGTGAAAAAGCAAGTCAGTAAAAAGCCCAGTGAAGTGCTAGCAAAAGTGTAATCACACCCTGAATTTAAGGCAAGAAAAATGCTATTTTCCAAGACAGAATGGGTGAGAAAACAAGAGGATAGGAGGAGTGCCTGCCTAATAAAATGTTAAGTGTGTTTTAATTTTCACAGTCCAGCATATGCTATGAACATTTTCTTATGCATGTGAAGCAAAAGTTATATTCAGAAACCCTTTAGTTAGAAAATTCATCCAGCAAATCTCTAGCTCTCATCTATCTAATCTAAGCGTAAACTACTAAGCATGCTATCTTTTAATTACAAAACAGAATCTCACATCATGCATATTGGCTTCATTGAAGTCAAGTTGGTATGCTAATTTAATAATTAGCCAAATCTCTGCTCCAATCAACATTAGAGTAGAATAGAATAACAAAGTTGGAAGGGACCTTGGAGGTCTTCTAGTCCAACCCTCTGCTTAGGCAGGAAACCCGGCCTATACCATTTCAGACAAATGGTTATCCAACATTCAGAGATTGCTATAGATTTGCAATGAATGCATTGGGAACCAGAATAGGTTGGACTTGTATCACATTTCATTATAAATGTATATTTAATAAAACTACTAGTACTGCTATTATTAATTACTACGGATTGAGATAAGGCTTAGTGAAAAATGACTTAATATAGTGCTACAAATAACAGCTTCTAAATTTGGTTTTGTTGCCAGTTAAATTTCTGGACATCAACTATATATACTTAGGTATTTGAGGACTGCTAGCAGCAGGATAAAAAATTTAGCAAATATTCTCAGAAGATGTTGATGCTTTTTAATACAGTGCAGTATAGAATAAATTATAGCAGAATTTTCCTAGATGGTAAATTCTATAAAGAATTTAAATAAACCTAAAAAATAAGCACACAGCTTTCACTGAAATGAATTTGAATTTCTTCTCCACTGTGTCAGGCTAAGAACAATGAGAGGACAAGCATTCAACAATGAAACTAGTCCAGATACGGAAAGCTTGTAGTCCATAACTTTTTATCTCCTTTACCAGTAGTATCCATAGGAGGTGTTTATTTTCTTCTCTGTAATTAAATAATGTTCTGTGTGTCTGTGTTTTGTTCCCTTCTCATGTTACAGGTCTCTGTGTTTGTGTGTATGAATATATGGCATGAGAAACAGCTGCATGTCTTCTGCTGTGGCTCACGTGACTAAGATGGAGGAGGCTTAGAATGGAGCAGTGGCAACATTCGGAACCATTGCCTAGCGTCTTCATGCTTGGGGCATTTTTCCCACAATGCTTTTCTTTGCAGCCCCCTTCCAGATCCAGCCCATTTTGAACTTGATATCTCCACTCCCAACTATTCCCGCCATGCTGGTTTGGTGTTGTTCTATGTCCTATGACCTATGCCAATTGACGGAAAGACATATACACGCACAAACTCATACTATCACTTGACAAAACTTCTGATCAAGCCAAGGGCCTGGTCTGGCTTGCTTGACCCTGAGAAGGGTGAGGTCAGTGATTATATTTCAGTGTTGCTGAGGCATTGTGGGGATGCTTTAACTCCCATTCATCATCATTCCTTCTTTGTATGTTATATACCATATTCATCTCCCGCTTCTCACAACAGCTACCGGTAGTAGCAGGACAAGTTTGGAAGGTATTTTTATTCATTTATAAAATAACGGACAACATTTCAAAAACATTAAAAGAAACTGCGACTAATAGCATCTTTATAGTTCCAGCTTAACTAAAGTGAAAATGTGTAAGATGATCATATAGCTGGCAAAAATGAACAAAGTGGTTTTTTTTTTGTTTGCCTGCCAAATTGTTCCTTTATTTATGATATCTAGCTTTCTAATCCAGAAGTCAAAATTAGTGGGCCTCAGATAGATTTCTAAACTGTGGGAAGGCATAGCTCAACATGGGTACTATTGTTTCCCAGTAACCTTATACTTGGCACTTAATATCTTCAGAAATTCACAAAATGCTCAGGATTGCATTTTGGCATTTAGACTTGGGAAATCTTGGAGTCAGCCTAGTTACCTTTTTGCTGAAGTGTTACAAAAGAATAAATTAATCAGTCATTACACGGTTCAATATGCTTTCAGAAGGACGTTTTTCTTTTGTTCTTTAAAGACACATTTTAATTTGAATACTAGAGTTTGATTAGTTGAATATTAAAACTTGATCAGATTAGAACTGTTCCTATCATTTTATGTATACATAAGATAGTCATAGTTTAATTCTAATCATTTCACCATGATTTTATTCTATAGTTCATTTTATTCTATTTTCAGTTTGTAATTTTAGTCTTAATGCAAATAAATCTTTTATAAAAATCTTTCATTTTAAGTTTAACATGTGGGAATGCTAACCTTTAGGTACATTTTACATTTCATTGTTTATGATTTAAATAGTGTAATATTTATTGATGTCATTTTATATTAGCCTATGACCAAAATTTAAAAAAAGATTCAATTTAAATGTTAGAGCTATTAAAACGAGATCCAGAGTGCTAAAGAAATTATATGGACCACACCAGTGAGATAAAGTGCTTATCAAAGGTAGGCTGCAGTTTGACCCTAAGCTGCCTTTCCAAAGGTGTTTGTGTGTGTGTTATAAAGTCTAAAAAACATTATTTGTGGAATACATTTATTATTAACCACTGCAAATTGATATTAATGCAGAGGTCTCCAACCTTGGCAACTTTAAGCCTGACGGACTTCAACTCCCAGAATTCCCCAGCCAGCTTTGAATTCTGGAATTCTGGGAGTTGAAGTCCGCCAGGCTTAAAGTTGTTAAGGTTGGAACCCCTGTACTAATGTATTTCAGTTAACAGTGTCTTTCTTTCAGTAGAAGAGATAATCCTTGTGCGGATTAGGTTCCTTACTGACCATTCCTCTCCCACCCATTGCTCTGGAGAGTTAGGAGGCTTTGCAGAGATTTGGATGTATGAGGGAGGTTTTGGAGGAGGCAGAGCAGGTAAATCTATATTTGACTGACATTGGATGAAGATCCAAAGATCAATGCCAGGTTGGAAATCTCTTTTGCTATCAGTGAAAACTGAAGACCTTAGTCAGTCTAATATCAGGCCTGGTCAGAAGAAGGCTTACCACACCGTGGGAACACAAGACTTTGCCTGCAGTTCTTCATGTCTATGTAAAAAGCTAGTAGGAGCCATGCTACAGGAAATACCATTTGAAAACCTCACAAATTGTGAGCAGAGTACTCTTAAATCAAAGACAGACTATCTCTTTTAGGTTCATGGATTGTATAATGTGTATGGAGTAGGCTAATTTGAGCCTAGTCATTTGTGCCTCAAGGGATAACTCTGGATTTATTTATTCAATGACCCATTTGTTTGTTTTCTTGGCTGTCCATGGGATTCTCAGGAGTCTTCTCCAACTCTAAATAGTGGAGATCAAAAGTGCCAATAATATTCCTATTAGATCCCTAATAAAAGCTATCTTTTCTTTCCCTGCTTGAAAGAGAGAAAAGAGAATATTGGGAAAGAGGGAGAATGTGTGTGAGAGAAATATGTGGGTAAGAGAAAAAAGAAAAAAAAAGGTGTGTTGTGGTGATAGTGTACATCAGTGATGGCTAACCTTTTCCGGACTGAGTGCCCCGAGCATGCGCGCGCAAACCCCCCAAATGCAATGCGCATATGGCCTCTGTGCATGCACCCCACCCCTGCACATGCGCGTTCTGCCCCCCACACCCCCGCCTGCGCGCATGCCCCCCGCCTGCACCCCATGCATGCACACACAGGCCCTCGCACTTGCCGTGGCCCCTGCGCATACACAGCAGAGACCCAAAGACTAGGTGACTGGCGGGAGGCACATGTGAATGCGCAGCAGAGCTGAACTGGGGTGACGGTTCGTGTGCCATCAGAGCGGGCACTGTGTGCCACCTTTGGCATGCATGCAATAGGTTCACCATCACGGGTGTAGATTCTGTTTTACTGCTTGTTAGATCTCAGCCATCGCTTGCTTCAGTGTTGCCTACTGTGTAGCCCCCAACAGTTTATCTTTAAAGGAATATGACTTTTTATATTAATTAATCCTCCCTCCTCCCTCCCTGCAAAGAAATAGAAGTTGGTCATTCTTGTCCTTTTTCAGTAGAGGTATAAGAAAAAAAAAGACTCCTGTTTTCACCTATATGTGACAATACAGACTCAAATTTGCCCTTACTTTAACCAATCTGGACAGGCTCAACATTATCTATATTATAATCTTACTTGTGAGAAAAATCCTTTCAGCTCTTTTCTGACTAACATTAAAATAAAAAGCCGCAGATGCTTTGATGGTGGTGCTCCAATTCTTTCAACAGCATGTCATCAGTATGAAGAAGAGAGAAACCCATTTGGCTCTATCTTAACATTAGTTTCCTGAGCCAATATGTCAATGAACACTTTCCTTTGTACTGACAGCTCTCTGAATTTGCAATGCTGTTTTTCCATCAAAACCTGCATTTAAAAATTATACATTAAGGGAAAGAGCATTTAAAATGCATAGATTAGTGAACCAATGCAAAATTCATGCTTGCAGAAATACATATTTAGACAAAATATGTATAAATTTTCACATTGACCTCTTTATTTTGACAAACTTTAGCAAATTAATATAGTAGGGGTGAGACAAAATTCAATTAAATTTAGAAAAGTTAAGAAGAAACTGCAGTTGATAAGTTTATCCATTATTGCCCCTATTCTGTGGAGATGAAGGAAAAAAACAGTAAAGAAATGACAGTTGAGCGTTTCCATTGTATGAACTGTTGGGGACATAGCATAAGAAAGTTTCAAAATATGATCGAAATGAAGTGATGTAGAAGTGACTGCATGAATTGGCAGACACCTGAGGCAATAACTTTGAGATATGAATAGCCCCATTAATTTTAATGAATGCTAACTCAAATGCCAGTTATTTGGATCACTACTATTCTACTTAATTATTTCAGAGATGGAAAAACTTCAGATTTGATGGATTTGCTTTCTTTTTCAATAGAACCCTAGATATAACAGTCAAAGCCTGGTACACAGAACAGGATACTTCTCAGCACGTTCTTTTTCTAGCAATTTACTCACAGAATGGACTTTTCATCCTAAAATCAACTTCTGAGTTTCTCAAGCCAGCCTTCTTCTGTTATTGCTCACTAGATATATTGCAAATATAATTCTCAAAGGTTTGGAAATTACAGCCCCAACATAGCTGGACAGTAAACAGAGTTCTCCAATGCTTTCACATATATCAAGTAATTCTAATATTGGAATTCTGACATGATTGGGAATCAAAGACCAGAGCCAATCTTTTGCAAGTCATCGAATGACTTGCCAATTCCAATCTCTATACCCATTCTTTCAAAAAAAATTTTTTAAAGAAAATATTCCACCATCATCATCATCATCATCATCATCATCATCATCATCATCATCATCATTTTAAGATAAGTCTTAATAAAAGAATCACAAACATTAAACTAGAAGATGAAAGAAGCACAATTCAATTATTGACATATGCAAACATTTGTGCAAGTAATAATATTTCAGTAATTCCATATTCTTAGTGAACATTAATTCTGATCTCTGGGGTCTTCATGTTCCTTTGTAACTAACAGATTGTGGATAGACAATCTGGAGCCCCCTAAACGTTTTGAATTATAAATTTCCACAATCACTTGAATTGCCCTTCTGGAGAGCAATCAGCTCTTGAAAAACAGAATAATGATATAAATAGTTAGTTCTCTGCAGGGTTGATCAGTAACAGGTAACCCTCTGCTTAACAATCCATTGATTCTTTGGAGAAGAATGAAGAAGTTGCAGTCCTCCAGATTTTGCTGCATTACTACTTCAAACCTCTTTGAACTGATCATCAAGCGGGTCAGCAACTTCACAGGATTCCCAATTTTGCCTTAAGCATGTCAGTAAATTAATTGCCACCAAGTTGGTATTAATTCTTAGTGACCGCATGGATAGATTTTTTCCCCCAGAGTTTGTTGTAATTTGACTGCAAATTGCAACTTGATTCATATCCCAAAGTAAGCAACATGTCTTAAGCTCATTACTATGCTTACAGGAAGTGAGAAACAAATCACTAATATGTTTTTTTTTTAAAGTACAGAGATCGCCCTTCTCTTGTATATTCTTTTTGACACCATTTTGATCCTTCCATCTAAAATAAAGATTATCTGTGACTTTTTGACATATAAATACATTTGTACTCTGCTGGACATGTTGATCACCTTCAATGAGATCAACCTGTTTGAAAGCATTCATGTATGTATTATGATGTAAAATAAATTATGCATTCCAAATAATATTTGGATATTTTATATATGTTTATTTCTTTCCTAGAAAATACATGCATATTGTTATATTAATTTTAACGATGTCTTTATCACAAATGGGAAACATTCTTGAGAAAATTGGAATGCACTCAGATATTTCATTGTAAGTGGGAACAGTAGAATTCGGTATTTTTCAAATTGCATTTTTGTAATTGTTCCCAACAGAGCCCCACCTGTCACTGCCAGTTATGCAAGTAGTAGACACAACAAAACCTTCAGAAATGCCTGCTGGGATGGTTTTCCTCTGTAACATGGTGTAAAAATGCAGGGGATTTGGGGATTTTGAATCAATTTATCTTACAGCAAACATGTAGAAATTACCATACATATCCTTCTACAAATAGAAATCTCCCAAGTGCAAATACTTTGTAAAAAAATCTGGTAAACTAAAATAGGTTTCTAAATGACAAGAAAATTTGGTATAGCCGAAGCTATTATAATATTAACATTGAATATAGTATTTTGAGTGTAACAGCGTGCACTTATTAACATATTAGTATAATGCTGATTACAAAAGGATTTTGAATAGTCAGGATTTAGGAATTTGGCCAACTGAAGTTACAGCATGGGCAAAAATCGACCAAATAGGGAGGGATGGTTATTTTTACCCTGACTGCCAAGAAATTAATCTATATAGATAATGCATACAACACTGGGTTTCTGTATTAGGCTCTGAGGTTGGTTCTGCCTTGGGTGACTTCGGGTCAGTCACACTCTCTCAGCTCTAAGAAAAAGGCAATGGCAAGCTGCTTCTGGTAAAAAACATTGTCAGGAAATCTGCAGGAACTTTTCTAGGCAGTCATAAGGCTCAAGACTGATTCAAAGGTGTGCTGTGTGTATGTGTGTGTGTCAGTGGTGGGTTGCTCCTGGTTCACCCCAGTTTGGGCAAATTGGTAGTGGGGGTGGCGGGAGGCTCCGCCCACATGCCCAGCGCATGTGCAGAAGCCATGCACTTGCAAAGCGAGCCCGCACGCTACCAATAGCAAACCGGTAGTGCCA